CCAACAACCAGAGGGAACCAGGGGGACCTGGACGGGCTGTCCAGGGAACCTGAACAGACCATGGGAAGGAGAACCAGCAGGGAAAAATCGAAGAGACACAGGGAGAAACCAAGGGGACACAGAGAAGGGGAGAAGGCAAATGCTCAACTCCACTTAATGTGCTAACAAGAGGAATACTTTTTTCATATTAATGAGCTAAACATTAGCTCAAGCATTTATGAGCTAGAACCAAGTAGAAGAAGCTCATTAATGAGCCAACTTTAGTAGAAACTTACAAAAATTAAAACCCAACTTATTTTGAACCGCCCCCCTCCTACATCATACCGTCTAGACCTCTTGAGCTTTTTTCTTGAACTATTATGATGTTCTTTGTTTTGTTTTCCTCAGCTGTAAGTTGTTCTTTTTTTTTTTTCTTTTTCTTATCAATAATTTCTCTTTTATTTTAATGAAACGATCACCAAACTTTTTAATATATAAAAGTACATACTATTGAATCGTATATATGGCAACTTGATTAATACAAAGACAATAGCAGCTAGTCGTTCTTGAATTCACTGTTCTTTGTTTACAAGGCAAAGTTTGCAAATGTGAATTAATTCTAATTGATATTTTTAATCAAAATTTGGAAGGTTTATATATATTTTTTTTTCATTTTCGCTTGATAGCTTTTTTTGTTTAATGTATATATTACGTGAAAAGAAAAGAGAAATGGACAAAATATGCAAGTTGTTTGAAATTTATGATTTAAAATTGATTAGTTACAACCAGGCTGGTTTATTTGATTTTCTAGATTTTTTGGTTCTTTCTTATCAAGCGTCTTTCTCATCTTATTTTTTGTGCAGGGGCCAAAGATCTCTTGCAGAGTATATCTGAGAAGCAAGGAAGACGGATGAATTCAGCTGAATCTGCTAAGGAAATACCCAAGTTCATTGAGTTTTTCAAGGTATAAATATCTTTTAACAGCCATATTTTGGTTAAGAAAAATATATACAATAAGAAGCATGCACTTCTAAACCCTGGCTGGTGCTTGATTGGAGTTTAGTTTAGAATATATTTGTAGAGTGGATTTAATGAAAGCTGGCGGAACCTCATAGATGAATTAAAGTTACCTGTAGTAAATGGGGCAATAACTTTGAAAAGGCTTACGAGTTTCCAACATTTTAGAGCCATTGGAAAGAAACCAATAATAGATCATGGAAGCTTCTCCATTAGTATTTTGTTCATCTTTTTTATCTACTTTTATGATGCACCGACAGTTCTCCTCTAAGAGGTGTGTAGTGTCTAACACGTATCCGATACGACATGCGTCCGACACGTGTCGAACACGCTGAAAATGTGTTTGCTTAAAGAAAAATTAAATGCAAATTGGACACGTGTATTTTAAATATTTTATGAATTTTTTAAAATATAATTTCTTTTATTTAAAATTTTTACTTATTTAAAATGTAAAAACTAAATTTCTTACTTTTTGTCCACAACATTAAATCATTCGCCCGCACTTAATGCCCCATTCATCGAATATTCTCATTTTCATTTCTCTTTGGCAGTGAAGGCGTTTTCAACTCCTCTCTCGATGAATGATAAATGACATCGACGTCCGACTCTTCGACTATCGACATCCTAATATTAATCATTTTAGCCAGAAAATATAGTTAAATGTCTTATTATTTTTAAATCATTTTTAAAATTATACTTATTTAATTTTTATATACTATTTTTAAAATATAAAAATTTAATTACTTATTTTAATTTTTAATTACTATTTTAAAATATAAAAACTATAATACCATGGTCTAACCCTTGTCTGTGTCCTTATTTTAACATTAATGACGCGTCCTGTGTTTTCTGTCGATGTCGTATCCGTATCGCAGTGTCCGTGCCTGCTGCATCATAGATATAATTTTAACCCTTCAACACATTTTTAAGAGCTAACTAGCATAGACTTCTAAGAAATGAAATATCACTTTCTACCTTATTCACAAAATTTTACCAAGTTGTATTCATGTTGTCATGTTTCGTAGTTTGAGGTACTTTTTTTAAGATTAAGAAGTTGTTCCTAAGGCCATTTTCATGAATGTTAATGGGGAAAGAACCCAATGGCCATTTAGAGGTTAGAGGAGAATGCTTAAATACTGATAAACAAAGATAAAAAAAACCAATGCTTTAAAAAATCGGACGGACTGGCCGGGTTCAAAAAACCGGTTCGATTCCTGAACTGCGTCACAACCGGTCTGGTTCACTTCTTAAAACCGCTTCTGCATTGAACTGGCCTGAACCGGTCTGGAACCGCCAGTGTCAACAGGGGGAAAACGGTGAACAGCTCCGATTTTTTTGAACCGGCCGGTTCAAATCTAACAAATTTTTAAATATTTTTTTAAATTAAATAAATATTTTAAAACTTTAATGTAAACATTATAATATATTTCTTATTTAAATATTTGCCCTCAAACCAACATGAAACATCTTCACATGGCCCCACCACTCCATGTGAGATCTTCACTCCAAGAAAACTCAAAATGCTATATAAACAATAGAAAGAAAGTGTTTACAAGAGAATGTGGGACTAAAGAAAAAGGTTGAGGTGTTGTATGAGTTCATAAACATATAATAATGCCTTATAAAATCTATTTTAAACAGATTTTTTAAATTAATTATTTTTTGAAGGAATGATAATTTATTTATTAGTTAATTAATTAAAAATTTTATTTATTTATACATTATAAAAATATTTATCAAATTAATAATTTTATCTATTTATTAATAATTTTAAATATAAATTTATAAAATAACTCTTGGTTATACAACATAAACATGTAAAATATTATTTAAATCATTATACTATAAAATAAGAATAATTTTATATTAAAATTATAAAACTTATGTAGAATTAAATTTATATTAAATATGTTAAACATGAATTAATTAATTAATTATATTAAATTATTATGGTTATATTTAAATTAATTTTAAATTAAAAATCAAATTAAAAAATTATTCATATTTTTATGAGTGTAAATTCTATATTATGAATTTAGAAGTTT